ACAGATCATACTGTTGCTGCATGACAACGCTTGGCCACCTCACGCTGCTTGTGCGACTCAAGACCATCCTGAACTTGGGATGGTAAGTTCTTCCACAGGCGGTTTATTCACTAGACTTGGCCCAATCCGACTAGCATTTGTTCCGGTTAATGAAGCAGGTCTTAGCAAATAAATAGGTCTAAACACTGGACAATGTGGGTTAATTCGTCGATGACTTTATTGCCTCGTAGTCTGCAAGTTTCTTTCGCGACGGCATTCGTACGTTACGTGTGAGATGGCGCAAGCTCATAGAAGACGATGGACAATGCTTCCAAGATTACACTGTCTGTTCTCTACGTATTTGCGATAAATAAATTTGCCGAAAATTTGTAAAAATCAAGGCACACACGTTAATAATAACTTTAGTAAGCCAATTGAGCATCCGTCGTCAGACCAGTAGATGACGCTGGAATCGAGTGCTCACGCGAGCAGGTGGTTTGGGATTAACCCTCCTCGTCCAATTTACTTCAACACAGTAGGTGTTCACATAACCCCCCCCCCCCCCCCCCTCCCATTTAGAGTTGTCCGCGTTCGAGAGACCCGGATAACATCGATTTTCGCCCACATCGGAATCGGCCTGTCCATTCTAATGCTGCCGACACCGTTGACGTACATACCGCGCCCAGTTCTAGCTGGACTCTTTGCCTACATGGCTGTCACCTCAGTCAGTGACAATCAACTCTGGGAACGAATTCAACTGGTCTTCATCGAACAGGTATGGTTGCTAGCTCGTCTTGTTAAACCCCATTCACCGTTTTTCTAACCAAACCGAGTTATTTAAGCCCGTGTAATTAATTCAGGGGAAGTTTTGCTATCCGAAGTGAATGTTATCGTCAATAAACACGAGTATTAACAATTTTTTGTACTGAAAGTTATGAGTGAACCCATATTAGTCACTTAGCTTCATTAACACTAGATCAGATTAGAAATTCAGGCGAACTGCAGCATGCAGAGGAATCTGCCTTACCACAAAATCAGTTGCAACTAAAGCGCATAGAAGTTACGCAGGGCTTTTTAATGGTTATGTGGAATGCGGTAGTTCCAATTTAGTGATTTATGGATTCATTGGGAATGAAAATTCGAAAAAAAGGCAACATTCCAAAAAGTTACAACTTTCTCCTGACTGACGACCAAAACCAGAGTCTTCGCGCCTACAGGAATGCGCACACAAGCTTGAATGGGTCGAAAAAAGTGGTGATTTGAAAAGGCCAAAAATTTAGAAGGGGTTGCGGCGTTTCTTTCTGATCTAGTCGGCTTACCCACCCTCGCACTACATCCGTCGGGTGCCGCAGCGTCGCATGCACCTCTTCACGGGACTGCAGTTGCTCCAATTGGCTGTGCTTTGTGGCTGCGGCTTCACCGAGGTACCCTTCATCAAAATGGTCTTCCCAATTCTACTCTTTTTCCAAATCCTCATCAGGTAAGCCCTGGGCACTTTGTTAGCTGAATTCCCCACACATCGACTGGTAGTCCGATCGATCGATATCGATGCGCGCAGCGTCGCTTAGCTTGCGCACTAGTTTTTCAATCGATTTGCTTGCAATCGAACGCCACTGAGTTATTCTAAGGTCGATATTACGAAATTGCTAATTTATGCAATTCCACGTGCGTGCACGCTGATCGGGGAATTGACATGCCGAACACCCTGACTACTAAAAAAATCGCTGAATTCCAAAAATCAGCTTAAATAGCAAAAACGAGAACTGCTTGTAAGTTGACTGCCCAAATTTTGTGATAATTTCCCATTGATTTTTAAAGTTGTTTAAGCAAACATAAAACCTATAATATTCAAATATACTCCCATAAGCTACTTTCCCCAATCCAGTGATGATTTTTTTAAAAAAAAAACAAATTTTTGATGACGTCAAGGGTTAACAAGGTTTGCGTAAACCTCAGTTGATGATGGAAGGTAGAACATGGGAAAAAGGACTTGATAACTGTAGTTTTGGAGGTGCTGAATTCCCACCCCATACGCAATTAAAAACACGTAATTGTTGTCACCTAGTCACCACTCTGTTGAAGAGACGGTACTATAAATGCTTGTGGGGTCTGGCCAACGCCAACTATCCGCCTTCGACACTGACTAAAGCATGGATTTCTTGAATCAGGCAGACGCCACACTGCAGGAAACATTTGACGGACCAAGGCCTGACAAACAGGCAGAGGCTAATTTCGTTACCAGTCATTTGTTTCAACCAAATGGAAAGCGCGCGTTTTTAATTTAACTGTTATTGCTCGCGATCTTATCACTGCAGCGTATGATCTCGGCTTGTGTTGATCAAATGTAATGGATTCCCATAGGGCACTCCAGCGATAAGAGCCCTCGTTAGGTTTTTATCAAAATTTGTGGACATCCAAGTTTCATAGGTTCCATTGCCTTTGATGGCCGGTCTTGGTTTTTTCCAAGTTCAATTTGATGACCTCCCGCAATTAGGGCAACATGCAAAGTCGTAAAAGAGCCACAATCTCGCGCTGAACTACATTAGTTCCCACTCTAACACTTAATTCGTTGATTGTTATTGATTTTTTGTGCAGAAACACAGCTGACCTGTCATAGATCCACTGCGTTCCAAGTCTTATTGGGTTGAGACACAAGTGTATCCGTATATTCCAAGCATTGTTAGGAAAGCTAAAACAGGACCGCCATCTTCGTGGGTGGTGCCGAGTGTGTGGTCGAGTGCTTTTTTTTCCACTGCGGATCAAGTCGTCTCACTTAAAAAGCACTTTTCACTTGACGCGCTTGGACAGCTGAGAGGCTGGTTCGACATGCGCATGTTGTGGTGGATGGGGCTGGCACAATTTCACCACACGCAAATCACCGTCCCACGAGGATGACGGCGTTGGTAACTCGGCCCTGCCAACCCACTCTCCCCTTTGCCCGCCACTTGTGTGGAGCCAGCACTCCTCACCATTTGCGTCAATGTGATTCACAGTAGGCGTGGTTTGTGCCCATCAGTGTCGCTCCCCAGCCTACGCTTTCGTCTTTTGAGCCATGTCCATTGAATCCAGGTGATGGCAATTGGTCTCTTCGTGGCCAGTCATGTGCTCTGCCCAGTCCCACGTGCTTTGGCATTCATCCCGTGCCAAAAGCACGTCCACCAAAGTGTCCTCATCGAGGTCATTCGGGTGGCTGGAGCAGAGTGGGCGGTTAAATTGGAAATTGGCGGGCCGCTAATGAGCTGTTGCCTTGGTGATGACGTCATTCACGTAGACCGTACACATTCACCCGAGTGCGTCCGTGACCATGAACAGGAGATGCATGTCGGTCTTGCAAAATCCCTTTATTTGTAAATTTGGTCAAATAAGAGGTAAAGGGAAGACATAATTGCAGCAGTTTTCCAAGCACGCGGACGCACAAACACTTACCTTGCACACAAAAAAACTTGCCAGTGACAAAAACCGCTGATGGCTTTTGCCGCGATCCATTACGTTGGCAAAACTTGACACACACAAAAATAAGGTTGTGTTTAAAGCATGATTTATTGTCTCCTCGAAACTCCGTTGTTGGAACTAAATACACATAAGTGGCCTTTCAAAAAACACACAAACACTTATAATTAACAGAAGAGATTGCGACAAAGGAATTTGCAAATATCAAACTAACAATGGTAATTTGTGTCGCCTGTGGCAATGCTGTCACCGGTTTATTGCGACTCCACGATAAACCCGAGTTACTTGACGGCGATCAGAAGGGTCAAGGTCACGCAGAGGGCATGTCAAGGTTACACGTACTGCGCATGGCCTGTTTTTTTTTCATTGCGAGAAAATGGACAGGCAAAATCGAATTATTCTTGTACGTGTCCTTAGAATGGCCTTTTTTTTATTATGCTATGCTACGCCCTGCTAGGCCATACCTAATTGGATATTTGTTCACCTCCCCATGGTTAGGCATAAAACCCAACCAGCTCTTAGCCAAATTTAATGTTTACTGTCGCTAACTGCTTTGCTTAATTACACCATTTTCGGAGTAGTAAGAGCTGATAATAACTAACTTATTGTGAAAATTGGTACCAAGGTTGTCGGACAATAGCCAAGAAAGGGGATGGTAGATTTTATGGAAGGTGTGGGGATCAAGACCCGTTTTAGATCTAACATGGTCCAGCTGACATTTAAAATCATTGCTCGTTTCTAAAACGAGAGGTCAATAAACACAGTAGAAACCCATTTTCACACGTTTTTGTGGTTTCACATGTACCTTTTAGCCCAGAAACGTGAGAACGTAATAGCTGTGAGAAGTGTGGGAAGCTTGACATGAGAATGCCATCTAAAAGTCCATGCTGATAAACCGTGAAAAATGAATGTGGTTTAAATGTAAACACAGGATTTGGAAGAAACGAAGGCAACACAGGTGTGCTTCTTCATTGCTTTGTTTCGATCTCATTGAGTTCAACTACAAAAAGAAAACTTAGCTGAAAACTAAAACCTGTGCCATCAATTTATAAATTTAATTTAAAAGGGAATACTGATGTTTAAGTCCCAAAAGAATTTTAAAATTATGTTTGCAGCCTTCCCAGTTGTGGTGACATGCTGTTTTACAGAAATAAAGCCGTTTATTAATGCAGAAAAAACGATGCTGATTGTAATACCACCAGTTGTGCCAAAACGGCGTTTGTGTTCTCTAAATCATTTGGCCTAAAACCGATGGATTTGCCAATTTAGATTACTGATCTCATTTCTTCATCCAGTAATTCGAGTTTTGTAAAATTACGCAGCATTATTTGCAAAACTTATTTTATTGAAATTTGGATTGATAAATTACGTTTGGTGTCAGTTTCTACATGTGCTGGTCTTTTCCCAGTAAAGATTCAATGCGAAAGTGTTTTACCCAGGAAAATGAATGTGGACAAGGAAAATAGTTTTCAAACAGTGGAAAATTATCTGTCTAATGGAGTCGGATGAACAAAATTGTTGATTGATGGTTTTTGTCGTCACTGGCGTCTGTTTGTCTGACCTGGAAGTCGTCCATTTTGTCAAAAGTAGATTAAAGTTATGAATTACATGTTAAAGACACTGTGCTTGGTTGTGCGTCACTGTCTTCACATGTTACTACGAAGGCCAAATACTGTGTGCATTTCTTGTATTTCGGTGTCAGTTACATGCCTTACCTGATTTAACATTTCCACAGTATTCTGGACCTCTGTATCGCTCATTGTAATTTCGTCATGGCAACCACCAGCCATGTGCCTTCCACATTTGCTTTTGTGCAAACACTGCAAAAAACAAGGCAATTGTTGATAAAATGTCTAATAACGTGGCTTGAAAGGGCAACTGCTAATCTGCCACCTACCTTAAAGCAACGATACAATCAATGGTTGGCGTGCTCAAATTAGACACACTGGTTTTGCACGGCAGTGGTATTTTACGCAAATTGCAACGCTGACGTGACCAGGGCAAAACAAGACCGTAGATAATGCAAGACTCAATCAATTTAACGCTACAGTGAGAGCGCGGTCACGAAAATGGGAACGCACGACTATCGATCGCTGAAAGAACGTCGTTGCGTGAATTTAATTTGAAAAAAAAAATCGATTGAATTCACGTTCCCTAACGCTTGGTAAGAATGCTAACTTGTTGGTGGCTCCTCGGTGTTTAGAGCATTCGAAAACTTTCTCACACACTTATTGTCTCAATGAATTTGATCAACCAAGCGCCTATCTTGTCGGGAATTCATGATGTTCTATGAAATTCTACAAAATAGCACGCGTAGAACCCAATCCACATATAATATATATACATCATGTATGTGCTCCAGTAAGAATGAGGCTGAAATACATTTCCACAAAAATCTAAAGTATGCACACTGAAGTAGCTTACGCATTTACCAGGATCCCCATTAAAATAAATTAGGAAACGAATGCTGCCTAAAATTCAGTATTACGCAGAAAACGAATTAGCTCAGCCCATTAAAAACTCACTTGAGAGATCTAAAGGTTTGGGTACTGTGAATTTTGTGTGAAAATGTCAGAAGTGAAGATCTTTTCCCAAAAATTAAACTGAAACCTTATAGGCATTAAAATTACCACAAGTACACAATTCAGACTTTTCCACAAGGAAATGGTGAGGTCACCTTTACCATCGAATGCCTCCTGGTTGTGTCTGAAGGCGGTTATCGACGTGGCCCTATCCAACTTTGCTTGCATCCTCGTACTCCACGCAATTACACGACTGCAGACTTCAGCCACAAGCTTACAAAAGATTTAAGATGGTCTAAATGAAACTTTATCACACCCGGCATTTTCTCAACCTCCGACACCCCCCGGTTATCCTGCCTGTCTGGTACTTTTAAAATCTCCTGACGAATCAGTAATGCAGTGTTGAAATGTGGTGATGGTTTCCGACTGTCCGAGGAATTATTCACTAGATTTCAGCCCGTCACCTTTACGTCAGGCTGGTTTGGGAATGATTTAGTAGAGATGAGATGGTGTAGAAGTGTAAGGATTTACATGGTAGGTAGTTTTCTCTACTTTCAGTAAATAAGTGTGTTACTTAAAGAAAGATTTAATTTAACTTTTACACCTTCTACTCTGGAAAATGTTTTCATTAAGCATGTTTATTAAACAGTCTGTTTTTCTTTTGTAGCCTGTAATACCTCCTGCCTCGTGCTATCGCAATTGCAGGTATGCCATAATTAACAAGCTCTGTTTGTTTTAATGCATTCTTCTTAAACTACTTTGAGCCGGAATAGCAAAATTTTCTCATATTAACTAGCAGTACCAGTGTGAGCACTAAAGTCACTGATAAGCCCAGTCGGTTTATTGCTTGGATTTTATTTTAACACGCGATCGAAGCAAAACCGAACACTGTTTTTACCAAAACAAAACTATTCACCAATAATTAAAATAAACAGTTTTCAAACAAGAAATTGGATTTTTTTTTAGGGGAAACGAAGTTGCTATTGAAGGAGACCCAGTAAAAAAAGGCTTCACCATTTCGAGTGAATTAACGGAGGCATCAGTATTACCAGCGTAGGTCTATTAAAGCATACCACGAATAGCCTAGTTGTTAGCTGGAAAAACACGGAATCTGGGTCGCCACGTTTTCAGTAAAAGGGGAGTTTTCACCAAGCAGTTGGGAATGGCCATTTCCAACATTTTCATCACGCCTCACGCAGGACTGCATAAAACTGATAAATTACCTGTTGGTCTTGTCTCGACGCAAAAAGCACACTACGTCGTGGGGATGAAGTGAGGCGGCAGCTGACGCATTTTTTTAAGGCCGCTGGCAACGCAATTTGACCCGAACTGAATTTTCGGCTTCGTGAGCGTATTTCACGCCAACGAAAGGATGCATGATACGCACCAATCATAGAGTGTCTGTGCTGCACCGCCTCTCATTGGTCGCGTGTAGGTGAAGGTCAGTAGCGCATTGGATCTCAAACTGGGATCCCCACCAATAGGCGGAAGTCTACCAAAAACAAATGTATCGCTGAAACACGGTAATTACTGTCAAGCAGATTTAAAATTCAATAAATTTAAGTGACTTTTTAAATGATCTCTAGACTATTTGGCCTCTGTGTTAAACGGGGCGACCTGGACTGACCTCTCGAGAGTAGATAATAATTGACTTTGACTGATGATCTAAAATAGAAAACAGGCGATGCACACTTTCGATGGCTCGGCCTTTGAGCATTCAAGACTACATTGGACAAAAGGAGCCCCGCCTCACGTTACCAAGGTAACCAGGAGAAGGTGAATGTTTCGACAAGTGTGGTGCTTTCACGACGAAGTGTGAGAACTGGACAGATAAAACTTGGGTTATCGTAGGTAAATTATAAGCAAACACAAAATGTGATTGTGGCAGACACGTCTTTATAATTCTTCAAATAACACATGGATAATTGCCGTTTCTAGAACCTCCCTTTGAAGGATTTCTCTGCAGAAGTGAGAGCCAATCTTGACATCAAGATGTTCATCAAGGAGGCCACTCTCCTCCTAGACCTGGAGGCGTCTTCAATCGACGAGATCATTCAGGAGATGCTAAATGCAGTTTTTCGTGAGCAAGCAGCCACAACCACAAATAACTCCAGCACCACCATCGCCGCAAGTGGACATCGATTCTACCTGACACCCACGCACTCGCCCAGGGAGTCGACTGTTGACTGCGACGAGAGCAGCAATCACACGCGGTCGCACACCCTCAACAGGGCGACCGGAGGCAATCTCTTCTCCACGACAAACAAAATGTCGACCCTCAGCAGGGAGGACTTGATCGAGGAGGCCAAACGAGCCCTTCTTCTGGAGATTCAGTACAACGAGCAAGCATGTAATCATTGGCTCCGACCACCTGTCGTTGCAACTTCAAATCGTGCCTGTTTTCTTTGCACAAGCTGGGTCACCTCAACCCCTCGCAGTGTCCGGTTCATTTTGGTTTTTTTAATCACGCTAAGAGAGACGTCGCTTCAGACATTCACCCCCTCATCGTTTCAAAGTATGCTAGAGGAACAAAATTTGCCCTTAAAAGTGAGAGTTACACACTTTTGCCACTAAACACGAACTTTCACACCGGGCGAAAGAATTTGCCCCAGGTTTTTCCTCGGGTTCCGTCTGTGCACGTCCATGACATTCAACGCTTTGGCAAGCTTGGAGTGCTTGGCAACTTCGCTTGGTCAACGTTCAAGTGATCCGAAGGTCAATGTCGAAGTGAATCCCTAAATGCCCCTTAACTAGACCGCCAAATCCTCAAAACCAAGTCACTGATTGTAAAACTTAATTGGTATATGGTGGGTGGGAGGAATGAGAAGGGAATTGTCCGATTCGGGAAAAAAATACGCGTGTGTTTCGCCATACAAAACTGTTATAACCGGACATGTTTGGCTTGCTGCCTTTTGTTTGGGCAGCCAATTGACCTTAGATGCTGACAGGTGTGAACGAGCAATAAGAATTGCGTGTGACCGCTACAAGTCAGAACTCAATGCCACTTCAATGCGTCAACCTTTAGGCTTTCAAAATCTCTGTTGGTTGGGCTGCTTGACCGTAAAATTGACCCCCGGCAACCACATGCCTACCGATCGTCTCAACGAACGCTTTTCGATTCATGAAAAGTTTTTTTTTATCAAAGTAATTTTTGCACAAAAATAAATCCCAATTTCCTTGTGGAATACCACATGAGGTATACTATAGAGAATACAGATTTCGACAACTTTACCAGAAAACGGTTTTCTGTAAGTTTGATCTGCGACCTATTTCGAAGTAATTTCATTCAATTTGTGGTTGCTTCCGTTCTCCGAATTTTTAGCCATTGTGCAAATAGTGATAAAATTGAAATTTCGTGATTGGCTGAACTTTATCCTTGCGTCTTCACGTTCACCGTATCGCCAGAAGGCTCTTAGCACTGTACTCAGGTGTACTTTCTTCAGAATTGTGGCAAAAATGAACCTGCGAAACTCCCGTTAATAAAGTTAACGTAAGGTGTTCTCCGGCGGCACTGGTTCAGCCGCTTTAATCATCTCCAAAGTGTGAATGACACGGGCAGCATCACGCAACTCGCAATCATTTACGATTAGCCTTGCCTCATTTACTTGTCATTTTTTAGTCTGATAAGGGTTCATTGTTTGCGGTTTCACACTACCGGGATTTAGTTGATGGCGCAAAATATTTCACCGTTGCTTGCGTGTGGCTCTCCCATCGCTCTAAAACCATACCAAAAAGCAGTACCACTTTTTCCCGATATAACATCCCTTTTCATCGCTTCCGATTTAAACGTGCATCCGTCCAGTTTTTGCAAGAGAAAATAAACCAGTCAAGTCATTCCCTCCGGCGAATTTAAAGTGGTAAAGTTTTGATGTAAAAGCCACATTCAGCAGAAGGAAAAACGCCTCTAACATGAGCTAGATTGTAGATTACAAACGCAGCATTTATTTTTAACCCCACATGAATTGGTAGGTTTTGGAACTTGATTTGACGAGGACTGCTACGTTTTTAATGATACATAACCTGGTAATGAGGAGAAATTACCGGAAGATTTGAACTTGGGTATGCTTTTTCAAGGAATGAGGATTACCGGAACTAGGTATTCCGATGCGCTTTAGAGCAAAAACCCCGCCGCATACACTACTTAAGGTGAAACACACACGCAATTTTTTAATCGGCAAATAAAGTCAGGAAAAAAGTGTTTTTTTTTAGGACATTTAGTTTGTTTTATCCTGAGCGCAAGTATAAAAACGGCAAGTTCAACTTTTTGAGGTAAAACGGTCGCCGATTTTAATTTGAACACTTCTTTAAAAACGGCGGTATAAAGGCATAGTTGGGATGGTCGCTGTTTCCCTTTCCCTAGTAAGGTTTAAAATGGACCAACAATAAAAACCAATTTATTAACTCAGTGTATAATTTCCTATGTTTGTTATGCAACAATGGACATATACTTGTACAACCTGATCGATCTATGGGTCGCTAATGAATTGTATAATTTCGAAGTCTTCGAACACTGGGCTTTGAGCAAAGTTGTAAAAATTTCACAATTATTTTCTGGTTCCTGGTATACGCGTCGCGATCAGAGTAAATGTAAGTTATCTGGAGGTGATTACGAAACAAGTGACTGATTTTCTGACTTCATCCACTTCCTTCCAAACTCTGCCAGTGTCTGCGCATAAACCAAATCTCGGAGGGGTGTGAACTAAAAGTGGTGTTTGATATTCGGTAGACACCTTTTTTGATGGGTTCGGAGAAAATTAAGCATCTCGTTGTTTAACCTGGTTAAAGTACGAATGAATTAAAAAGCAAAATCTCCTGACTTTTGGCATTTAATTGCCTTTTTTTAATTTGACTCTTTTGCAATCGTAAGTGCAGAACTAGGTGGCTGAAAAACGCGACAACTGGTAAAATGATTTGTTACTAAGATGCTAAAAACCGTTGAGTGAATTAAAAAGTCCTGTTTTGATTTTAAAAAATGCGCGTCTAGAGATAAGACCACCTAAATTAGCCACGTTTGTGTAAACAGCCGTGGAGGTCACGCGCAGACGAGGATTTTACGGTTTGTGGGAAAATCACCAACACACATGGAGATAACCCCGTCGTTTGATTTCGCCACCAAATTGTGGCATTAAATAAAACAGGAATTAATGGATTTGGTGAGGGACAATCGCCAAAAAGGAGAGTCTTCCATGTTGTGAACGAAGCTTCCTGTTAGTCGTTTTGTGACTTAAATTTGTGCTGTTTAAGTCCCCAGCGCGGCCGTGTCATATATGAAGTCTGGGACGCCGGGTGGGGTACATGACTGACGTGCCCTCAAAACTTGTTGTTCCGTTTGTTTTTGCATGCAGCATTCCTTTTCATTTCACCCTAACCCTCCCCCACACAGGTCATTTATGGCGCTGCTTGGTGTGCATTAAAAAAAATTAATTTATCGCGTCAAGTTGATTGGGTGTGTGTGTTTTGTAGATAAACATGAACTGCAAAAGTACAATTTATTTACATCGCGATTCACGTTCATGGGGTCAAGATTTTAAGGGTCACAGTAGGAGGTCAATCTTCATTTTTCGTGCATATTTCTGTGATTAGGTGAGCGGTTCTGTGCAAAACATTTCGTCTTTTCCGGTGTGCAAAGCGAACCGCGTTGGGCAAAACACAAGTGACTTGAAAATGCGCGGAAATTTGGCGTTGAAAAACCATGGAACCCTTGCTTACCGCCTTGTTCTTTCATTTGTTGTAGACCGGCGTTTGGCCAAGACCATTAAGTCTGTTTCCTTTCACGAAAACGAAGGCATCACAACCGACCAAAGTTGGATTTGCGCCCTGTAAGTTTTGCGTGCAGTTGCTTCGCCCAAAATCTACTAGCAATTCTTACAGAGGATGCCTGAATTAAGAAAAGCCGTTTAGATTTGTACAAAAATTTTGCGACAGTCAGACTGGACCGAAATTAGTGAATAAACACTTAATCACTTACCCGTTTCTAAAAACGCAAGCTCCAGCTACCTGAAATCGTAAATTGCTAGTTGCTTTGTAAAAAGGAAGGTAAATTATACACCTTTTGACAACTGGTTTTTCGCGTTGTCTTTTTAGTGTGATTCTCATATGCGTGGAGTGATTGATGTATTCTTTGGAGGGAAAAGTCATTATGTTCATGATTTGTGGTCTGGTGAAGACATAATTTAGGTCAAGGTTTTTGGGAATAACTAAAGTGTCAAAGCAGACCTCTAAATTCAGCAAATAAGCCAGCTTAACAAAGCGATATCGTCGATGTTATGGCCTCATTCTGCAACTAGATAATACCAATCCAAACGGTCATGTTAGCAGCTTTGCCAAATCCTACATTATTATGAACTAACGAGGCGAAATTCATAACTGACATGAAATGCTAAACTTGACTGGAGGAATTTTTTGAAACAAAACCTTGAGATGTTCACTTCAGAGGCACCGAGAGCGCGTTGATCGTTGGGGAGGATTGATTATTAAAACTGAAGAATACAATATTGATTATCAATTAAAGTCTAGTTTTTTTCTGTGTAGTCACTAATTCTACTAAAGCTGCACTGACCTTCAGGAGAATTTTAGCGATTCGCTTTCTCAAATTGTGTTTTGATGATTTCCAAAAAAAAAGTTTTTTTACTACTCTGAGAACCTGACTCTTGGTCGGGATTTGGATAAACTGGGGTACAGAAGTGGCTTTTTGAATCGATTTTTGAATGAAGACGTTATCTGGAATTAGTCAAAGTAGTTTCTAGCAACGTCGTCACTATAAAGATTTTTTGAAGTTTTCCAACAATATTCCATCTGTATAGTACTGGTACCTCGAAACTACAGTGATTTACCTTTTTTTAAAAAAATTAAACATTTTAAAGTTTTAATCGACAATCGAGGCGCAAAACCAGATCTAACCCCAATGCCCTGGGACATTTTCTAGTGTCTGTTAGTCTGAATCGTGGTAAACGCCTGCGTTAAAGAGCCACTGCCTCTTGATGCTAGTCTGTTAAGCTAGCTGTACACGCAATTCGCTTCATTGTTTACCTACATTGGAGTTGTAATGTGGACATTCATCGTCATAGCGAACACGCCATCGAAGGTTTAAAGTTAACTGCTGAAAATTCACAAAACATCCAATTGTAGTATTAAAAGGCTTTAATTTGACCTTGCAGTAAGTGGAAATAAAAAAAAGGGTTTCATGGCCGAGGTCGGTCGTCAATAGACCAGTTATGGGAAGGCGGCCAAGAATTTCATGGTAATTGTGTTCTGGTGTGTCATTTCGTGTCATTGCAGTTTTATACTGCACTTAGTTTGATATTCTGATAAATCCATGTGGACCACGAACAAAGACGTCTTGCTCGTTTATCTCAAACCCCCTGGTGACTTCGTGTTTTCGTCCTTGTAGATGCAGTCTGAAGAGCATTCAAAAACGCTACCTCGCGTTAGCTCGGCTCGCGTACCCAGTGAACCTTGGCAGATCCAATGAAGGCACCCAAATTATCCTCCTCGTGATTAGCCCCCAGAAAGAGGTAGGCATTGGGCACGTTCACGCCAACGCTTTCAACTTTTTCGAATGCTGCGTTGAAGTGGCCCGTTTGCGCTTCTAAGATACCCTGAGGAGCCAAGAAAACGACCAGAAATGTCAGAGACAACCGTTTTCTAGACAACGTGTCGGGCGTGTCACAGTGGGGCATGCCTACTGTAATTATTGACCACTACAATTGAAATGAACTAGTTAACAGACAGTTGAGCGACTCAAACGTCAGAGGATGCAGCGCCGTGTAAGTGGCAGACGTTGGACACGTTTACGCCAACGTTTCCATCTTTTCCCAGCATCAAAACGGCTTTCATGGCCCAAAATGCACAGCTCAATTCAGTGCGTGGTGTATTTAGTTTATCATAGTTTGTCCTTTTTGAGTAGCAAATGCCTCAAGTTCCAAACCCACTGACCCACAGATCTTATTGATTGATCAGCCTTACCCCTGCCCCATGACTGAAATTACCAAAACTAAATATTTTCCCCTGGTCGTACGCATAACTACCGTTCCATCAATTTTAATTGAGCCAATTACGAGTGGTGCGCAAACTAACACTACGGCACGGATGACGCCACACCCCGGCAAAAGAATGCAGCAGTTCGAAGGGCTAGCATTACTGCATCATGTGGTCTACCTCGTAAATTGGACAAACGGCGTCCCTGCTAAAAGGTCACTGCTTAGGCTACTTCGTGCAACTGACACGTGCTGCACGGCTGCTTGGCCTGGCCAAGACGTCATTTGGTAGATTTTAACTGGGCAGAGCATCGCTGCGTAGGCGTGAAGAAGAACGGGAATGCGGTGTTTCAAAAATATCTCCGCTATGCACATCAGGGAGGCATTCCGGAGGGTGTGTGGAGTGGGTGGGTGGGTGAGGTGAGAGAGAAACGTGGAGAACACTAGTGCTTCAGAGAGGCGAGACATGGAATGTCGTCCAAGGCTTTTGTAATGTATCCACCCGTCTAGCCGGCGAAGCACCTATGTTGACAACAGCCACAGCACTCTTGGTCGTTTTACCCAGTCACTCGTAATCAGGTTATCGTCACTTCGTGTGCAACTAGTTCACTCCGATGATCTGGGCAATATGCTGAGGAAAATCAAAGTATTGCAGTGTGGTACTTGATAGATTTTGAAATCAATTTATTTATGTAATGGTCAGGAATCGGTTTCGACGTAAAATATCAATCTTCTTCGTAACAGGCGATTGGCATGTAGGCATAATTCCTGTCCCATTGGCGTAACCCATTGGAACGGCAAACCCAGCACAGACGGTAATGGAAGCGGCAACAAGCGTTGCGAATCCAAAACTACTCAATTCTTTATTTCGTGCTTCTGGGAGCCCATTTTTGAAAAATGAAGAAAAATTGTGGATGTTGGATGTAGTCTCGCATATGAGCTAAAACCGCATATTTCCCAGTCTTAAAATTATTTGCAAAAGGTTTTCGCAATATGTATTTTAAGGTAATTTTTTTTAATTCTCTTCTGCGAATTATCACTGAAAAAGACCGGAATGGATTTTGGATGTTCAAGACAAATCGCCAACATATTTTAATCACCTTTTCGTGAAAATCAGTGTAAAAAATGGGGAAGAAAGTATCCCCAAGTTGACCCCTTAACCACCAATAGAGTAAACAGATTCTGTAGCGGCTACGTCAGCACTACCCTTCATCCCTGCTAATTGACAGTTCGTACTGGCCCTTGAGGAAAGGCAAGACTGATTATGGCAAAAATGTCCATTTATTTACATTGGACCACCCAAATCTTTTATAGCACAGCGCGTGAGTGCGTCTTGAACGCCAACTGTAATCGATAATCGATGACATTCGATCATCTCGTGAATGAGCTTCACTGTCGTTCCGAACCTGTATACAAGGATGACAAATGCTCGAATTTAAAAACCCAACTTCCAATCTTAACCCATTTGCTCCCTTGGTGCAGTGGCCAACAATTCTGTAAATCAGCGCGTTTTTTTCCAAATCGATGAGAGGCGTGTTTAAATGGCTTTATTTGACAAGTTAGAATAACGCGGTGGTTATCGAAGATTGAGGTACTCAGTTTATGCCACTCCATCACATGTATTTTGTTAACGATGTTCACGATAATCACGAAAAGAGTACGCGGAAATTAGCCTCTACAGCAATGACATTTCGCAACACTTCGACACTTCACATTGGCCCCAGCCTACCCAACTCCATACCACCTCTCGCCAAAAGACTCCAATGATTTCGAATATGTTTTAAATATTTTTTAAAACTCAATTTCGACCGTCGAAATTGTGATAGCAAACTTGTCAATTTGTGGAAATGCGTTGAAATGTCTTTGAATTAATTGAAGTTGACAGAACTTCTGTGCTGTGTCTGTTGGCTGTCTCAGAGCTAAAGGCAACAAAGTACTTGCCAAAGGCAGCTTCCAAAACGGTTTAGAATTGCTCAACTTAAAGTGCCTTCAAATAAACACACGTGTCGCTAAGGTGCGAATTGTAATCTCGAAAATGCTTGCGGGTGATGTCAGCAGATAACCACCTATTGCCCCGTCAATCAAATCATTTATTGCCAAGGAAAGTACAAGCATTTTTAAGGAATAATGAAACCAGTAAATCTTAAATAAGTTATCCGTGCCAGTAGGGCACTTTTTTGCAGGGAATTGGACTCGACTGATTGGTGGATCAAGACGCACAAGCAAAACGCTTTTTTTTCGCTCTGTAGAAGAAAACGAAGTGTGAAATTGAGTTGGGGCGGACGTTTGCGACCATCCTCTCCGACCTCGAATTTCGACGACAGCTAATTTACGCCCAGGATGAGAACGAGGTGAAGGCGCTGCTTTGCTCGAGGGCGCATGAACTGGCGGAGGAGCACGAACAACTGCGCCGGGGTCCGGACAAGATCAACGAGCTCATTGACGAGTGCTTCAAACCGGTATGTGTCCATTCAAGGAATTGCCATTTCTAAGACGCCTTTGTGAATGCCAAGGTTGGAGAACAACGCATGCAAACTGTGGGGCTGGCCGTAGACTCTCAAAATTTTCAGACAAATCAAACAGGGCCAATTTTACCGTTGGAGTGAAATTCATTTGAAATTGGCGTTAACGCCTCCTGAACCAATGGTCAGATTGGATCGTCTCAGGGATTGGGTCTTGCAATTAAAAAAATTCGTGTTTTACAATTTGGTGCTGTTCTCTTACCACATGCATTACGCCTATTGTCGACTTGTTGGTTGCAAGAAGACCATTTGAATTTGCCAAACATTTTCTTGAATAACCCAAGTTGTTTTGCTCTACTCAACCCTAGGAGCCCCGATGTCAGTTCATGAGTGGACTGATAGCTGATTTGCGGCGCCGTCTTCCGCTGTATCCTTCGGACTTTGTCGATGGTACGTCCACTTCTACAAATTTACGCATTCATACCCAGACGATTGCTGTACTGTAGACGGCGTAGTCCACCCACGCTTCCATCTAAATGCATTTATGTTGAAGTAAAAACTAACATGATTTCAACAGAGGACGACTGCTGAGTTACACACGTATGCCCAGTGAAATGAAACGTTAGCCAATGCAAAAATCAGATGTGGATAAATACACACTCGAGACGCCACTTGCCCCATGAAAGGTCCACACGACATCAATCGATCGTGGTTCATTCTTGTCAAGAATTCAAGTAACTTGCATCAAGTAAAACCAAACTATTTTGCCATACAGTTGCCTCATTTCATCAAATTGACGTGACAGTTGAATTTTTCCACCCAACACCGTGGAAAGCGAGGACAGTGTTGGTTGATTAAAGCAAAACTCTCCGTCATGTAATCTGTTGAACTTAGTTCGACCGAAACAAATCGATCCTCCGTAGCTGACACTTCTTACGATGAATGGAAGGGGTCATTTTCGGGGCTCTAAAAACCAGCATTACGTAAACGGTCGTCTTTCGATGAAAATACCTGACTAATGCACCTACGCCGGTGTGGATTTTCAGGTGCGTTTTAAGATGAAAGTGATTTGAGCGGCCACCAATCTTGGGTTGTGCGATGGTCGCCTCAACGATGCCGCATCACTTGGCATTGCTGAACCAGTCTTTAATAAGCGAGTGAAATGACTTGCCATCCGTGTGCACTGATGCTTCAAACCAGTGCTTCTATTCACCAATCGAAATGCGTTCACGGCAGATTACACCTCACCGTCCTCGAACTAATGATTGGCTGGCGCACATCATGAGTCATAACCTCCCAACAGCCTGCATCTCAAAGTAAATGAAAACTTCTTTTGTTACCAAGTCAACCTGGTGAAGTCGATTCATTTGCTATCCATTGGACGTACGATGCAATGCTATTCCTGACACCCCTATGTGGCACAATTAGACTCCCTTCCTCAAACCTTACTAACCCCCGAGGCCATCGAAGATCTGATTTTCTCAACTCCCACCAGATTATGACAAATATTAGACGGAACTATGCGCATATTTGATTGTCGTGGGTTTGTACTTCCTTCATTTAAATCACATACTTAAAAGTTAACAAACCAGATTTAAAAGGACATTTGAAGAATGCGACCACAAAGATTTGGCGGTCGAACAATACTACTTGCCTCTTTTTGCTTCCAATAGTCTCAGAAATTTCTGTGTTTTCTGCATCAATGACTTTTGAACTAAGTGCTTGAAATTACTCCAAAACCGCGCCCATAAGGCCTCACTCCTTCTAAACACTGACTCCCTTTCACTTCTGCGATGTCGAAATAGCTCATTTCATACCAAAAATCCCTGCTTCGAACTCCACCCATTCACACTTGTTTGCGTAGTTTGGGCAAATCTACCAAAATTCCCTCAGAACTGAACGTCATGCAACGTTGCTCCCACCTGGAAGGCACCTGTTTCCTGGTTAGGTGAAAGAGTGGAATGATTGAAGGCGAGAATGCATTTGGTGTGCTGTGCAACGAGGAGTTCTTTGAAGGTCGTGACGCAGCATGTTCACCACGGTCAGGGTGACGGTTGAGCAGGGTCCAGCATGAAATATTCATCGTTCAGCCCCTTCTGCGCTAATTTATTACCTGAACCGCAGTGGGAGGAGGCAGCAGCAGCAGCAGCAGAAAATGTGGTTTTATCGTCACGCCTGCCATAACCCCGGAATCAGATGCCTAACACATCGCTTAATCAACCAAACCCAGCAGAGAGGCTGGAATTCCGGTGGGTTGGTTGGTTGCATTTTTTCCACACGTAACGCCAACGTTTCTTCGTGAATGCTTCGTTACCTGTCATTACACATCGCCGCCGCGCACTTCGACTTGCATCGATAATATTTGCTGAAAAATTTCTGGCTTTGAGACCCGCAGGTTTAAATGAACATTGAGATCACGAATTTGCTTTTAAAGCACAGGTTCGCGAAAATCGGAAATCGTGGTAAATAATAAACCACCGCCGTATTTTAACCAATCCCAAAGCTGGTATCTGTCCCTATTTAACAGACAACCAATCAGGTTCTCATATACCAGATTATCTTCCAAAGTACTCATTTCACTTTATGTGTGTTTTTGTGTTTCGTGTTATGATTCGCGTGCACTAAAAACTAAACTAAATTACTTAAAATCGATGAGTCCTGCTAGGCTAAATCGATCGCAAATGTCATCAGGCAATTTATGCGTGTTATGATTGCTGATTCTCAGAGGACTGTCTGTTAAATAGAATTGACTTATTTCCACTTTTAACTACTTTAAATGCGAACGATTGGCTCCGTCTGTCAACTGACTCTTCTGGTACACTTGGGCAAATTAGTGCAATGCTTCAAATTCTGCAAATAGCCACGGTACGAGTTGTGCTGTGTTGATCGTTCCACTCAACATTCACTAAATCTGATTCAAGGCATCTCCTTTTACCGGCTGCATTCGAATGCATGTGGTTTGACGAAAGTTATGAATTCAAAATAGCGACTGAATTGTCCCATGTAGATACGTTTCACGGATAATTAAACCAATATTCCGTCTTCCGCAAAAGGTAGCTAAAAGGGTATGCGTGATTAGAATACGGCATACGGTCTAATTTGTCAGACAGAAGAACACTGACGATCTGCGCGTTCTCGGTAATTGCTTATAGGAACTATTTAATTGATCTGATTGACCAGAAGGCCTGTGTTTGTACAACACTTGATGTCGAGCAACCCATGGTGCTTATTTAGCAATAACTCCAGTTTTTGCTGCAAAAACCAGGTCTCCGAGGGTATCAAACTGCTCGCAAAGTAACCACCTCCATACTCTTCCTCTACTTCGCCTGTCTTCTGCCATCGATCGCATTTGGCGTCCTCAACTACAACAACACCTGCGGAAAAATCGGTAAGGGTTCGATGTTTTCTACTCAAAGTACTATCTTTCTTCTAACGAAATGTCGTAACTTGCTTATTACAGGTGTGAGTCGGGTAAGACACAGCTGCCATTGCTGTCGTTAGTCATTATCGGGATTTCTGCGACAACAAATGATTTGCTGAAAGCTGTATTATCCATGGCTTAAGGGGTCCAGACTAAGTAATACAGTATTTTAGTAATTATTAAATACAAATTGTGAGAAGTAATTTTTTCCGCCTGTAGTAACGGGATTGCAGCCGTGTGCATCGGTCCTGCACTTTGGCCAAGCTTGATACAAATTCTCAATATCTGGCTAAGTGTTAACTTGTATTTTACACTGGGAACCGATGAGGCCCTTATTGGTATTGCCTTGGCTTCAGATCAGGACAAGTTTGGATACGGTTGAAAAAGTATGCTTTGCAATCGGGCAGATATTTTTAGTTAGCAACGGATGAACACAACTATTCATGCACTCGTCCGCAAGACAAGCGAGGAGTGTATTTCGCCGGTTCTAAGGCTGACCCCGTGCGCGAAAATCAATAATACACTGTCTGAGCACTGATCACCATCACAGGCTCTGAATTTCTCGGACGCCGCAGCGCAGGAAATGGCAGGCCCAAGCCGCTGTGAGGTCGAAAATGACAGTGGTTGAAGTTTTCCCTATGCTCGAAATGACTGCTGGAATTACTGGAATGGTGCTCAGAAAACACTCAGGCACTTCGGGATTGAAATAAAACAATACTGATCCCTAGCGTTTCTATTATCGTTGATACGATTAATCACTTCCGATTACCCCACACGCGTCTTGCTTCAACGATGTTGTAAGAGCACACGAAATCTTGGATCGAAGAGGTAGGACTATTCACTAGTCAATTGCGACGTTATTCATTGACATGGATGTGTTTCCCCCAGCATCCCTCATTCCTGTTGCCTAGCTGAATGAGACAAAACACTTAGCAGCAGAATTAAAAGTAACGGTTTCCTGCTTACCTGGGGGCTCCTCATTCTCCCCAACTGCTCCTCGATTCACTAAACCTTCACACAATGTCTAGCGCGTACCCACCATTACCGTTTAAATTGTCACATTTCTGAGTCACATGCGACTTACATCTGTCGCAGCTTATAAACGAACACCGGAGTGCTGTGTCCACTTTATCTATCTTCTGATCTCTGTAAAATTATTGCTTTCGTGGTGAAGCCACGTTGGTGTCTGCAGATGTGTTAACTTCGTGAGTTTAACTACGTCCGTACATAGAGTAATTAATAACTCTTTTCACAGCTTAGTAAACTGGTTTCGACGTCGCTTTTGCCTAGTTGTTGTGACAATGTGACGTATCTGTAATCTTTCAGGTTTAATAATTCCTTATTGACTTTACAATTGCTTACCCCTCGAACCCTCTGTGTTTGCGTACAGAGATTAGACACAGCGTCCTGTTTAATTTCAAGGCTTCGCGCTGTTGACTTACGAAATTGCTGTCTGAATAAGTTTTAGAAAGAAAAAACTAGGTGCTGGTGAAATCCAGTGTCTCGCGTAAGCCCGAGGCAAGCATTGTGTGATGCGTTGGGTAAAATGATTTGTTGTTAATCAATTAAGGGCAAAGCGACTGTGTCTGGGAACTATCGTAGTCGCGAAATTAATCATCCCTGGCAGGATTCGAGGTTCGCCTTCTAACCACTTCTCAAACCCTCATTTCAGTAAAAAATACTTACCACCTCTTTGAAGTGGTGCTAATTCAGGTTGGGGCAAAATTCATTAAAGAGTACAAAAAAGCAAGTCTCAAAATTAATCGTCAAAAAGTAGCTTCGAAGTTATAGGAACGGAGGGGTTTGTTGGGCGAATAAGTCATCAATTAAAAAAGGTTTGGGAAATTCCTGCCAAGTCGGCGTTTTGCGAAGATGCACCCAGTGAAGCATAACCCCGTGCGAGCGTTTTTGTGCCAGAAATTTTGATTAACGCGCCACAATTAGGGTGAAACTTTTTGGGTGTGTTGTAGGTGTCTTTCGGATTTTACTATCTCAGACGATCGGCGGGCTGTTTTTTGGCTTCATCGGTGGACAGCCTCTAACAATCCTTCTCACAACCGCACCGATCGCACTCTACGTAAAACGCAAGTCCACTTCATTTTGCATTACGGCTGGTGGCTGCATTAAGCCCGATTTTTGCCCAGCGCCACCCAAGCCTTAATTCTACCTTCTTCAATCAAACTCGGATTATTTTATGACTGTGCAACTACCAGGGCACTGTGGCAAATGAATAATTTCTACTTTTTCAGTGATATACACCGTGACGGTGTCGTACAATTTGGAGTTCTACGCGTTCTTCGGATGCGTGGGCTTGTTTAACGCCGCGTTTCTCTTCATTTACGCAGCCTTTGATGCAAGTCGAATTATGCGATGGTCTACAAGGTAGGCCGTTGCTTCGCTTCTACAAAAATCGCACTTAGATCGGTTTTCATGAGCCAAAAAATTGTGCAAGTCAAAAAAACTAGTACTTTGAATGTTTGGAAAACAACGCATGCGAAACGTGGATAAAATTAACGCCTTAAAATGGAAGTGCTTTTCGGGCCAACTGGTGCTGAATCCGTCAAACCTTTAAACGTTTGGTCATGAAAATACCTGTCACCTGATGTTGAAGTCTTGGCAAAGCTTAAGGTCTGGGTGACTGGGAAGTATTCGGTCATTAACTGATTGCCTTGTGATGCGTACGGAGTGGATTTACACATCGAAGCCACATCAGCTGGCCTCGTTTAATGTCCACACGCGATCTTGGAAATGTTCTCCCGTCTTACACAGTAAATGTCACCTTAGTCAAAATATGACAAGTTGAGAACAGGCAAGTCAGCTGTCAATGTAGATTCCTTACTTTGCGGAAAACCGAATGTTCTTTGGAAAAAATCCACTGATTGAGAATCGTAAGGCCTCCTTCCCAGTTCTGGCATTTCTCTTTTGGCTTCAGGTCGACAGAGGAAATCTTTGCAATGTTCGTCTCAATTGCCTTCCTCGTTGAGGCCTACCGCGATACCGCGAAGGGTAAGAGCATGGACCACCTTTCAAAGAGGTGTTTGTGCGTCAAAAGTGTTTCTGTGTGTTTGGTTGTTAGCTGCCACTCGGTGAAAGTGGGAAATCGATATTTCAGGGAAATTTCCCACCGGCAGCATCTGCCTGACCATCTGACTTTCCGATATAATAGGTCCAGTTGCTAGAGGTCACATATATTCGCGATACCTGGCTTTCGTTTGTAGCTTCTCGGACTTATTGTCAATTCTGACTGCCAAAAATTGCTCAAAAACACGTGCTTCTGGAGGATTTCCCGATAAAAGTTGCAGGAATCGTCAGTAAACTTCAACCATTAGTTACGTGGAAGAATTTAAAGGAGGCGTTTTGAGGGGACGATTAAAAATTAAAGCCCATTTGCACACTTTTTTTTGAATTCTCCAAAAAAGTGGAAAACGGATGTCTCAAATTCTATTAAGCCAGGTTAATTAGCGCATGCGGAGCAGCGCTAACAACTCTCCCCTGACCGCAGGCACGTACTCCTCCTTTCCTCCTTTTTTTCTCGTTATACTTTGCACTCAGTGGAAGCTCAGTTAGGACTCATTTTGATTACTACTGTTTTTCAACACTGTCAGCCAAATTTTCGTATACTAGGGACTTACTTGGGCCCTTTTTCGTCTAGAATTTAGGAAGTACTACTTTGACTGCGTTACCAGTCAGGAGTGTCGCAACTCGTCGGCCGTCGTGGCCGCTAACGCGACCGGACGCACCGACCGCACTCTGCTCAACCTCCAGCCGACGTTGCCGCACCCGAACCACCAGGCGATCGCTGCAGACGTCAACGCCAACATAAACGCCTCCCTGGCCGAGGTCGTGACGACTTGTAAGCCCGAAGTTGCCATCCTCTATCTCCTGCTGTTGGCCTGTACCTACTGGATTTGTATTTCAATGCTCAATTTCACCAAAACGTGCGTTTCGATAGCATTACCTTGCTGCATGTGTCAACGAAATGCAAAATCACGACAATTTTCCTCCATATTGACGTAGTTATGCGTGGTAAAGACGCGAATTTAGCCCCTGGAAGATGTTTCACACCTATCGTTTGAAGATTTCTTGCAATTTTTTAATCTAGTTGGGATTCAGTTTAATGTCTAGAAAGTCTTCACAAACTTAAACACCAACTGAAGCCAATATCGGTCAGGTGCAGTATGAACTTGCGCTACACTTGGGGTCAAAATACACGAAGGTGAATGCAATATAACCACGTTTAAGCAGGGGAACAAACCAGGAATTTTATTTGAAAAGAGAACAAATTTTAGCCACACACATACAAGACGTTAATAAGCCAATGACGCTCATAAAATCGGTTACATAGAACCTTTCTTATCACCACTAAACGTTAGTAATCTTGTCTGTTGACAATTTCCCTATTGCGAATCTCCTAGCCCAACCAAAACCAAACCATCAATTATGATGCGAGCCATTGTCACTTCCCCGTGAATCCTCCTGTTGTTTCTTTTAGGCCCTTTTTAACAGAAACAAAAAGGGAACTGATTCATGACTTTGCTTTGCCCTGCGCCGTACTTGTTATGTCTTTCGTCGGCTCGTACCTGTTCAAAAAAGTGGAGCGTAAGTCTCAAGGCCATTCCGTTAATCAGTGCACTCTCAAGAAACCCAAGTGCAAAGTCCTTAACTTGCGGCAATTAGTGTTTGATTCTCCCGCTAATCTACCAGTAGTTGAGTAAAACACAAGATAAGAACAAACCGAGGCTATATGGATATAGTGACAAGGAATTGAGTCTCACCCTAGTAAAGCATTCCAAAGATATCGTCATGAAGTACTTGAAGGTACTGTGACGAAATTGGAATGCTGTACTAGGGAAAACTTGGAACCAATGAAATTCCCTTACTTTTTGCTACCATACCCCTTCCTCTCGTTTAAAGTGGAGCCTTATAACGTGGACACGGAGTCGTTTGAATGGAAGATCGTCGACTTCCGCACCTTGAATTGGGCGAACGTCCTCGGGGCAATGGCTCTGTCCTTCCCACTCTCTCTCCTCTTCTTCATGGAACAAAACATCGCTAGCGTCATCGTGAACTCACCGTCAAATAAGTGAGCTTTGAAAAAAAAACGACGTTAGGTTTGACCACTCACAGTTTAAATAGGCCATATTTTCGCAAGGTTTAATTAACACTTTCGTTAATAACCTGTTCCATTTGAAGCGTTTAGCAAGAGGCGCATTAATGGGCAATGAACAACGCCCAAGTGATTCGAGATTGAAATTATTTCACTGCCTTACAACCCTGCTAGTCGGCAGCCCATAACAACCCGAGAATGGACTCAAAACGGGCGACAGCGGACGCCCCACAGTTTATAATCATCACGCTGGCCAAACATCTTTTACTATGAAACCATGGGAGCGATTGCCAATTACCAACTGTGACCAATAACCAATTACATTAAATCAACTCGTGAACAAACTTCGCTAACGCTCGTCGCTGACAAATCACAACAACGGAATCAATTAAAACACCAATAATTGTTTTAGATCTGTTGCCATAGTTTCCATAGATGTCTTTGCTACTACAAACTCCACAACTCACAATTCCTCTGAAATTCCCGTGTGCGACTTGCTCATTATTAACATGAAACCATTAAACAGGTTGCAGCAGCTTGGGGTTGGGTGTTTCATGACCGTCAGAGCATCCTCTGCGCCAGCAATAACCTCTAAGGCAAAACTGCGACAAGTGAGCCCTTTCAATCAGCTAACGTCGTTAGGTGGCACTATGAATTCACGCAAGAACAAATTCACACTGAATTAGTCGTCGAAGTCACTACCATCTATGGGCTGGAAATGCGTACTGTGGATAGTTTAGGCTAATTTAAGTTGAAAATTTAGTGATGCAGATTTCGTTGCCGCTGACCGAGCAAAACGCAGCAGCCTCAATGCCTGGCGATGGGCACACTTAACCCCAAGGCATTTTCCTCCATCCAGACTGAAGAAAGGCACGAGCTACCACTGGGATCTGTTCGTAGTTGGGGTGATTAATACCCTGCTGTCGCTTTTTGGTTTGCCCTGGGTACACGGTGCTCTCCCCCAGTCACCCATGCACGTCCGCTCGCTCGCCGACATGGAAGAACGCATCACAATGGGCAACTGTGTGCAGCAAATGTAAGTTATCTATTTTAATACACAAAAACTGACCCCACTTGTTTGCCTGGGCGACAGGGCATAGCCGACATGTGCCGGCTTGCGGTTGACGAAACCACGTGTTCTGTTTGCATTTTTTACACTTTATCGAAAAATCGATAATTAGACAATGCTGCGTTAGATGACGCATCAACCCAGCCCACTTGAACGACGCTAATGCTACTTCAATTTTGAAGGGGTCAACTATTTCCAATTTTCTCGCTTTAGTAGTAATCACTCAAAAATGAGGCCAAGATGCATCATCCAATGGTTCAGTAAGTTTGTCTGAAACCAACGGACCACGCCATAGGTTTAGACCACGAGCAGGGCAAGTGGTGTGTTACTTACTGACCCCCGGTATAAATCGTTGGGTTATTTGTTCAAACCGTAAATTTGTCTGCTCCTCAGTAATGAACCAGTTTGCAGTCAAATTACAGCAATCGGCTTTTTATGCTGCCATTGGCGTTTCACAGTTTTCTCAAGTCACCTAATGGACCACTTACCTGGAAAGTTGTTATAAGAAATCACAATTTACCGACCCTGGGTTTGCTGTGATTGGTGGTTTCGCATTAGACTAATTTTTCGCGAAACCTCATCACTCCTGTGAGCATTAGCCAGCTGCATGACTTACAGGCTAATTTATTAATTGCGCTAGGAACCTCCAAGTTTTATCAAAGTGTAGGGAGTGACTACCTCAAAACCAGTCGGCAGAGACACTGGGAAGCAATTAAATTTGTTTTGCCAGCACCTCGATCCGTTTTACCGCTAGAATGCGTCTTCTTCCTGGAAGATAAAAGTAAGCACCCATTTGCCTCACTTGACATCTGCCGTAATTGTGATTTGTGTGCCCAATCGGAGGCTTTTTCCCAGTAAACAAGCTGAATCACTGCAGGCTGCAAAGATATCACGCTTCAAGACCTCGAATCTGGCGCGCTCCCCCCAAAATTTTCTGCGCTGTTTGAAGTAACCAATGAGCACACAGTGTGATCAAAAGTGGCGCCTTGTTTTAACGGTCGTAGAACATCGCTGAGCCGTTAAGAAAGTTTTCGTTTAAAAGGTCGTCGTGGAGACATGTGCAAATGTGTATTCCAGAAAATGCAAGAATACGTGGTAAAGCACGCCCAGAATACAGCATTTTCTGGTTCAGCGAACTTCAATCCTACAAAGTGTTGCGTATATTTTTTTTTTAAAACAATCCACCTCACCTTGCCTCTCATTTAGGGAGCAGTGTTCTGACATTTCCTTGCCGAAAGACACCTCTCACTTCCCAAGCTCGGGCCAGTTCTTTTCGCAACTTTTTTTTTCTACAACGCTGCTGTCTACCTCGCTTTTCCTAAGACGGCTGAGATGCTGATTGCATTTTGTGTGTGAAACAAAAAACAACTTGCTTTGCGCTGTTTACAAAGCCACTCGCACACACACACAAAACGAGTTAATGCACAATGCGGTTTGTGTTTTCCGCATTTACACGATTTCAGTTATGCTCGACGTGGTAGTCAACTGAGTTGAACCAGCTTCTCGATAAAAGGCATTCAGCGAGGGCAGCATGGCTCAGATAGTGTCGATGATGTGTCGTTGATGCACATCGACTTGCGCTGAGTTCCTGCTGTCAGCCTTCAGGAGGGCTTGAATGACCGTGTGCCTGAGATCACTTTGTTCGGGCACAACTCACCATCAAAGACCGGAAAAATGGCAAAGAACGGAAGGGTGTTACTTCCATAAGGATTGGAAACCACGACTTCTCATGACCTCAAAACACAGGCTGTACTCCCGTGTATCGAAGCGACATATTTGCACATTTGAGGTGAAATTTCATCTTAAAAACATTTTACTTAGCAACCGTAGCTCCCGAGAGTAAAGAGGTGAGAACCAACGTTAATTACTTGGTCCATGAATTAATTTGTACGGACGTTTTCTTCGGGCTTAAAGTCATTTTTAAATTTGAAATATTTCGGCGGTCTTTTGTGGCTGCTAAAGAATCGCACGCATGGTTTCAGAACTCCGAATGACAAGTCTCCCTGAGTTACATAACTTCACAGAATAGCAAAGTTTACGATGGCAACTGTTAAACAGCACACTCGATGGCACTGCATTTTATA